CCCCCCAACCCCCCCCCCCCCGTGTCTACTTCCGAATCGAAAACGTATTATTCCGTCCCGATCCTGGTTGAACAGCGTGCTTTGTGCCGCCGAGGGGGGGCTGAAAGGGGCCCACGCGGAGGAATGGGTGTCGCTTGGCGCGCTTGGGGCGATTTCGTCAGCATTAGAGGTGAGAGAGAGAGGGGGAGAGGAACGAACGAAACCTGATTTTTTTTTTTTGTTCTTTTGGGATGGCTGGGAGCGTTGATGTCTTTGTGTGGTCATAACGCACGGTCGTGAACTTTGCCTCTGCAGTTGTGAGATACCCCAAGGGCGACAACAACATTGCCAGAGATGACGCCTTGTGGTTTTCTTTGAGCGCACGGTAGGGCGACCAAAATGCTAGTCCTAGGACAATGGACCGCCGTAGCGTACTCGGAGGCATCATAGTATAGGGGAGCGAAAAAACAACAGTCATATCTGTTATCAACGTCATTGGGCTTCACCGGTGGGGGTTTAGGAGATGGAGGGGGGAGGGGGGGTTCTCGCAGAGGGGACTTCTGTGAGGATGTATGCCTCAGTACAGCTCTTGGCAAGATGCTTTCAACGGCGAGGGCCTCTACTCGCGCTGTGTTTTGTTGTTTCTTCATAATCCTGCTGTAGATGGCGGGCAACGATGACTCCCAAGTTGACGTTTACCATGAAATGCGAGGCTTATTTCCTTCCTCTCGTCTTGTCCCGCCGCCTTTCAATAGTTCAATGCTGCGATACCGGACTATTTCACGGACTTCCCGATGGTGATGTTCATGATCTCGGGCGTGCTTCTTTCCGAGGCTGGCCACGCCGTCTCTCTCGACGACCGGGCAAGAGTGGCGGAGACAAGGTGACTTGCGTGACGTGTGGAGAGGGGCTCCGTCGTGCAAGGGTTTCCGCAGTATTGAAAGAGACGGGGTGGCTTGCGCGAAGTGCGTTAGGGGCTCCGTAGTCTTGACAGCAAGTGGCCGAGAAGGGTGACTTGCGTGACGACAAGTGGCGTGTGTAAGGGGTTCGCAGTCTTGAGAGACAAGGTGACTTGCGTGACGTCTGGGGGGGGGTTCATCAGTGTAAGGGCCTCCGTAGTCTCGAAGATTCGTGGCCTCGGGGTGGTGTGTAGTCTCGGCGTCGCTGTCGCTGGTGCGGTCGCGGTTGCTTTTGCACGCGAAAGGCTATACGATCGTTCTCGAGGTATTATACTCTCCTATTGACTGTCCGTGTTACTGGCATGTATGCGTATGTTCACTCGCTGCAAATGTTGTTCCCTTTGGATTCAGCCGTCGATGCAAATTTCCGCGGCTGGCCGCAAGGCTACTATTTTGCAATCGACGCTGCGGCGGTTTTATGTTACAATACAGCAGGACCGACGCTGGTCGTCGCCAGCGTTCGGTTGAAACACGCGTCTTTTTTTTTTCAACCGCAATAATCACGGCAAATTATTTTGGTGGCCCTTCCTCTCACATGCCAAGACTACCGAAAGCTGGTGGTATGAGAGCATGTAGTGACGTTACATATCCGCCATGCAATGCCCCTGTTGGCGCTAAATTTGTCGTGTCCATCGTCGCGTGCCTGGATTGCTCATGCCCTATTTCCGTCCTGCACCGTTGCTGCTGTTCGCACATTGCTCATGCTTTCTCCCGTCGGCTGTTAATCGCGCGCGTGCAGCCTTGGTCTGTGGGTGGAGCGAAGGAGATGGGTGGCCCCATACGCGGGGAGCCTCGGATCCCTGTTTGAGGGGCCCCTTAGGGGGGAAGCGCTCATGCGAGCGCCGCTGGAGCTAAGGAACCAGGCTGTCAAGCAAGCGGAAGGTGTGAGTGTTGTAGCAGGCTACTGGTATTGCAGTGCTTCCAGAAAAGACATGTGTGCGGCGGCGGTGTTCCAGGCTATTGCTGCTGCTGCTGCTGCCTTGTCTAGTGCTTTTGCTGCCGTTGCTACTGTCTCTAGGAAGAGACAATTGACATGCTGCTGCTGCTGCCTGTCTACTGCTGCTGCTGTCTCTAGCAAGAGGTGTTCCACGTGCTTGTGAGTTAGCCAAGACGCTCTCTCCGGCAGCTGGCTGTTCCCCTCCCTGGACCCTTGAACGCGAATCTCCCCCCCCCCCCCCCCCCCCCCCCCCCCCCCCCCCCCCCCCCC